TGGTCAGGGCACATACCCACCGGGCTGTGGGCTCAATCCTCAGTGAGGGGTGTGCAGAAGGCAGCTGATCAATGATTCTCTCTTATTGATGTTTCTATCTTTCTCTCCCTCTCCCTTCCTCTTTGAAATCAATAAAAATATAATTTTAAAATTAAATAAATTTTTTAAAAAGTGGTGAAAGTGGATATCCTAAGGGAAATGCTTTTAGTTTCTGTGCCAGGCCAGCACAGTCAAGGGTTCAGTGAGCCTGGGGTGGAGGTGAGCCGCGAAGGATTCAAGAAAAGACAAAGAGAATAAGCTGGGGCTCGGTGGATCTCCTGTGCCTGGATGAGGCCACAGAGAGGGATCCAGACAGCAAGCTGAGGCTTTATTTTATAGCCAGAGAAAAACAAGGTATTGGTCAACATAGTTACAATGTTCTTGTGAGTTTTACTTGTTTTGGCAGCACTTGCTGCACCTCCCACAGCCCATTAGCTACCTAGGAAGGATCTAGGGGGTGGCCATAAGGTCAAGCTTAATTATGCTAAGAAGGCTCTGCCCTCTAAGCTGGGACTTGTTTGTGGCTCTGCCTCAGGTCAATCCGAGGCTTAACTCTAGAGCCGCTACCTACAAGTTTCTGACCATTAAAAATGATGTTGGCTGTGAGTCTATGGCCTTTTATTATGTTGAGGTATGTCCCTCTATTTACACTTTGCTGAGAATTTTTATCTTAAACATGTGCTGGATTTTATTAGATGCTTTTTTCTGTATTTATTGATATGATTATGTTGTTTTTATCATTCATGTTGTTTATATGGTATATCACATTTATTGATTTGTGGCTTTTGTACCAACCTTGTATTTCCAGAATACATCCCATTTGATTATGGTGTATGATCTTTTTAATGTATTGCTGCAACAGGCTTGCTAATATTTTATTGAGGATTTTAACATCTGTGTTCATCAGGGATATTGGCCTATAATTTTTTTTTTCTTTGTAGTTGCCTTTTCTATTTTGTTTTTTAAAAATACATTTTTATTTATTTCAGAGGGAGAAAGGGAGAGATAGAAACATCGATAAGAGAGAATTATTAATCGGCTGCTTTCTGCATGCCCCACACTGGGGGTCTAGCCCACAACCCAGCGGGCACGTGCCCTTACCAGAAATCAAACCCTGAGCTCCTGGTTCATAAGTTGATGCTCAACCACAGAACCACACCAGCTGGGCTGGTTTTGAAATTAGGATTATGCTGGCCTTGTAGAATGAGCCTAGGAGTCGTTCCTCCTCATATTTTTTGGAATAGTTTGAGAAGGATAGGTGTTCTTTGAATGTTTGGTAAAATTCACCTGTGAAGCCATCTGGTCCAGGACTTTTGTTTGTTGGGAGTTGTTTGATTATTGCTTCAATTTCATTAGTTGTAATCTATTCAGATTCTCTGATTCTTCCTGATTCATTTTTGGAAGGTTGTATAAAAATTTGTTATGTCCTGATTTTTCAATTTGTTGGCATATAGTTGTTTGTGATATTTTCTTATAGTCCTTTGTATTTCTGTGGTGTTAATCGTTACTTCTCTTTCACTTCTGATTTTTTTAACTTTGAGTCCTCTCTCTTCTTGAGTCTTATTAAAGGTTTGCCCATCTTGTTTATCTTTTCAAAAACCCAGCTCTTTGTTTCATCAGTCTTTTGTATTGTTTTTTTAAGACTTTCATTTATTTTAGCCCTGATCTTAGTTATTTTCTTCCTTCTAAACTCACTTTGGGCTTTGTTTGTTGTTCTTTTTCTAATTCCTTTAAGTGTAAGTTTAGGTTGTTTATTTGATATTTTTTCTTGTTTCTTGAGATAGGCCTGTAATGCTATGAATTTCCCTTTTAGGGCTGCTTTTGATGTGTCTCAGAGATTTGGGATTGTGTTCTCATTTTTATTTGTTTCAAGGTATCTTTTGATTTCTTCCTTGATCTCACTTTGAACCCATTTATTGTTTAGTATCATGTTTCTTAGCTTCCATGTTTTTGTGTATTTTTCAGGGTTTTTTTTTCTTGTGGTTGATTTCTAGTTTCATACCATTCTGGTCAGAGAATATGCTTGATATGACTTCAGTCTTCTTAAATTTATTGAGACTTGTCTTGTATTTTAACATGTGATTGATCCTAGGAAACGTTCTATGTACACTTGAAAAGAATGTATATTCTGCTGCTTTGGGGTAAAATGCTTTAAAAATATCAATTAAATCCATATGATCTAGTGCAGGGGTCCTCAAACTTTTTAAACAGGGGGCCAGTTCACTGTCCCTCAGACCGTTGGAGGGCCGAACTATAGTTTAAAAAAAAACTATGAACAAATTCCTATGCACACTGCACATATCTTATTTTGAAGTAAAAAAACAAAACGGGAACAAATACAATATTTGTATTTGCATGTGGCCCGCGGGCCGTAGTTTGAGGACCCCTGATCTAGTGTGTCACCTAAGGCCACTGTTTCCTTGTTGATTTTTTGTCTTGAAAATCTATCCATTGATATAAATGGAGTGTTAACATACTCAATTATGACTATTACTGTCAATCTCTCTACTCATGTCCGTCAAGATTGCCTTTATATATTTAGGTGCTCCTATACTGGGTGTTCCCTTTATCATTATGTAGTGTCCTTCTTTGTCTCTTACATAGCATTTGTTTTAAAGTCTGTTTTGTGAAATATAAGTATTGCTACTTCAGATTTTTTTCCATTTCCATTTGTATGAAATATCGTTTTTCATCCCTGAAAAAGGAGTTTATTTTAGTCAGAGAGGAACTTTTCTGCCATCTACTTGTACAATTTCTTCTGGGTGGCTATCAAAAGTTTTGAGTTTATTGTAAAAATGTCTTAATTAATTAGCTATTTCAAGTATGAAAACTGATAGAGTTAAGTTAGGTTAATGGAATTTTACTTTTGGAAAGCTTTTTATTTGATAATTTAAAGTATATTATTTCATATTTTTATATAAAAATTTAAATGAAGTTTTTAAGCAAACCTCTTATAGCTAGCTGTACCAAGCTCCCTCCAGCTTATTAGAATGTGCTCTTCAAAAAAGGAAAAAAAAAGAGAGAATTCATGGACATGCACAACAGAGTGGTGGTGTGGGAGGTGTATGTGTGCAAGAGGGCATAGATGGGATAAATGGTAATGGAAAATATAAAATTAAAAAAAGGATGTAGATTTCAAATATTACTATATTTTACATGCATTGATAAGTAAAGGGTTAGAAATGTATTGCCTATTCCAGCTCATACTTTTAGACTCAGTTCCTTCAAATCTCCCTAGAATCTTTTCCTCTCATCTCTTCTACTTCCCCTACTTAAATGCTCCTATTCTTTTCTTATATATGAGCGTGAAAGTGTTTTATATGAGGATTTTTTTTTTTTAAATTTATTGGGGTGATATTGGTCAACATGAACATAGGTTTCGGGTGTGGGTTTAAATGCTTTCTGGAACTTTGATTCTTTCTGAACTTTGGATTTTTTTTAGTATTTTCAAAGTCTGATTTTCAAAACATTTTTTAAAGTTTCCTAATAATATAAGAGTTTTTAAAGAGTCAAATTCTTATTTTGTCATCTAGTTCTTTGCTATCTCTCCACCAGAAAAAATGTGAGGTTTCAAGGGCTCAGCCTACCTCAGCAATTTTTTTCCAGATTTTAGTATATGACCTTGTCTATTTTTTATTTGTTTTTTGATAATTTTTAATTGAATTTTTTGGGGTGACATTGGTCAATCAAATTCTATAGTTTTCAGGGATACAGTTCTATAATATATCATATGTATATTGTATTGTGTGTTCACCCCAAGTCAAGTTTCATTTCATCACCATTAATCCCCCCCTTTACCCTCTTCTACCTCCCTCCACCTTTCTTTCCCTCTAGTAATTACCATACTGTTGTCTATTAGGTGTTTTGTGGGGTTTTTTTCCCTAATCCCTTGACCTTTCTTACATTCTCTATTTTTTAGATTATATTCTACATACCACATTTTTCTTTTAGCCAGGAACCAAATTAATTCTTAGAGGCTAAGTAACTTTTAAGGTTAAGTGAACCAACACATTTCCCTTCACATTTTTAAAAAAATGGTAAAAAAATACTGGCATCTCTGATAGTCATTAAATACTATAATTTAGTGATGTATATCCATTGTATTCAGACTTCACAGGATTTTGTTTTTAGTGTCCAGTTATCTCCTAAGTAGTTACCTCCAATGTGCCGCTTGTTTTTTATTATTTGTTATTGTAAAAATACAGGCAGAATTCACTGTGGTAAAACATTTAAAAAACTATACTTATTAAATTGTAATGCATTCAAATGGTATGAGACGATAGGCTATTAAAATCTCCTTCTCACCCCTGACCATCACCTACCCCAGTTTCCTTCCCTGGGGATAACTACAGTTGCTGATTTCTTTGTACTCTTTTACTGATATTCTGTGCCTATACAATAAACTATATGTTTTTAATCTTGCCCTTTTACTTTTATACAGATGTAGAATACTTGAAAGAAACATTGTTCTGTACCTTGCTTTGTTCAATTAGCAATACAATTTGGAGATTGTTTCTATCAGTACATAAGAGTTCTTCAGTCTCTTTTTAATAGCTATGTAATATTCCATAGTATAAATTTAGCATATTTAACTAGTTTCTCATTTGATGGTTTTTTAAATTATTTCCAGTCTTTTGCTGTTATAAGAAAGATAGTAGCAAAAAAAAGAGCAATATATACATCTAACATGTATGTGTACAATAACATGGCCTTGTTACATGTTACTTCATGTATGTATTAATATCTACAGGATCAGTTTCTAGACATGGAAGTGCTAGTAAAAAGCTGTGGGTATTTACAATTTTGAAAGTAGAGATGTTTAAATGAATTGAAGCTATGGAATTTTATGTATTATTTACCCACCATGGAACTTCAGTTTATAATAAATGGAAATCTAAGAATTAAATTAATAATTGCTAAGATGTAAGTGAAATCCTTATAAAATTCTTTTTATTTTGCAGGTATACAAAAATAGGATATGCTGGAAATACAGAACCACAGTTTATCATCCCTTCCTGTAAGTGTTTCTTTTAAGCCACAAATTAACAGATTTAAAGATCTTTTTCTTAATTAAAGTAAAAGAAATAATCATTTCTGATACACAGTACTATTTAATCCTTTAAGTACTATGGTTTGCAAAATTTAAGTGTGACCTCATTTCTGCACTTCTAATCATTTCAGCTCTCTGTTTAGCTCCATTTACCAAATCTTCCAAATATCTCTTTAGAGACAAGATGAAGGAATTAAACAAGCTTCTGCTTTAAGGATATTGCTATTAACAGTCTGTGCTTGTAAACTAACTGTTAAAAAGTGTATCCCCATCACACACTTATGAAGACTGTCCTTTGGTTTTTGGATATGATTACTTTTTGCAGGGCCTTGTGCTTGTTGACATCCTGACCTAAGCTCATGTTTTAAAATAAGGACTGAATCTCATCTTTAGAGATGTTGACTTCAGCTGTTTTCTAATATCTTATAACCACCCAGTGTTGTTATTCTGTCTTATTTTGTTTACTTTAATTGAACATCAACTTTCAGTAGTTTGTCTTTCAGTAGTTTTTTAAAAATACTCTCATACTTGGCTTTGTTAGAGCTTTTATTTGTTAGCATGGATTATGTATCTGGTCCTTGGCATACTTTAGTACTTCTGATTTTCAAATGATTCATCTTTTTCATGCTTTATAGTAACACCTGTGATTTACTTGTCCTAATGTTGAATTAAAACTAACTTATTAGATGACAGACCTTTTGAGCCTTTGCTTGGTGGTGCTAACTCCTAGACAGTTTAATTTTGGGAGTGTCAGTAGTTTTTCACAGTAGTACTTATGTGACTCTTTGAATATTTTTATGTATTCTTATTATGAAAATAAGAAAGAAATGGAAAAATAAACATGCAGAGAGTAATGAAAGCAGTTGACATTTCAGAATTAGTGAAGTTGAGAACTAGGTAGAAATTACTAGGCTTGGCAAAGATTGCACATCTTTAGTCTCAGTGGGTTACTAATTGGACATGGATAGCTCATTGGTATACTTTTCTAGGAATTGATTTTGTAAGAAATTAGCCTACTACCTAAGTCTAATTCTTTAATACCTAGAAAGAATTTTAGGTGACACTGATGATATAGCTTATTCATTCGAGAATAGTGGCCTTAGTTTGGTGGTACCATTCTGTTGTCCTTGTGTACACTGAAGGACAGGTTTGCTTTTCTTTCCTTTTCCTCACATTTATATATCAATTTATTGATTGTTGTTTTTGATGACAAATATTGGCTCTATTGCTGACTTGTATAGAAGTACTTTTGTGGACTAGTACTTGACTTTAGTTTTACAGGGGTTGGCAAAAGTAGGTTTATAGTTGTATGTGAACACAGCTTATTCCTTTATTATTTATTTGTATTACAACTGTAAACCAATTTTTGCCCACCCTGTATTTGAATTTAGTGCTGTTAGACCATTGTATATGCTTGTATTAGTTTCCTAAGGCTGCTGTAACAAAGTACCAAAAACTGGGTGGCTTAAAACAACAGAGACTTCAGTTCTGGAGGCCAGAAGTCCAAAACCAAGTTGCCAACAGGGCCATGATCTTGCTGACAGCTCTAGGGGAGAAACCTTGCCTCTTCTAACTACTGGTGTTTGCTGATAATCCTGGACATTCCTTGGCTTGTATATACAATCACTTGGCTGTCTCCTCCCTTTGTATCTCCATGCTGTCTTTTTTCTGTGTCCAGATTTCCTCTTTTTATAAGGACACTAGTCATTGGAGTAGGGCCCACCCTAATAACCTTACTTTAACTAGCAAGACCCTACTTCCAGATAAGGTCACATTCTGAGGTTAGGGCTTCAACATATCTCTTTTTTTGCAGGACACAATTCAGTAATATATATATTACTAGAGAAGGTTTCTAACATTTAGGAGTAGAATGTGGATTTAGAATTTCTTTCCTTCAGTATTTTTTGCCCACTTCATTAAGTATATAACTGTTATTAAATGAAAGTATAACAGTTGAATGCCAGATTAACTTAAGTGTATGCATTTTTTATTATTTACATTATAGATATTACATATAGGTATTATGTATAGGTAATTATAATAAAAATGAAGGACTGCTTAACTTGGAGGATTTATAAACATAACTTAATTAAGAAATATGTAATAAGTTTTATGTATAGAACTGTATGCTGAATTTCTGAAGTTTTTTAAGGGGATTATAATAGGTTTTACCAAAATGATTTGAAAAAAACTTTTTCTTGTATGATTAGTTTAACAGAACCTTATGTCAGGGTTATATTGAAATTACTAATCTATTATAGTACAAATAGAATAGAAATATGAATGCTTTTATTTATTTATTTTAACAATATATTTTTATTGATTTCAGAAAGGAAGGGGGAGAGAGAGAGAGAAACATCAATGATGAGAGAGAATCTTTGATCAGCTGCCTCCTGCATGCCCCCCATTGGGGATCGAGCCCGCAACCTGGGTATGTGCCTTGACCCATGACCTCCTGGTTCATAGGTCCACACTCAACCACTGATCCATGTTGTCCGGGCGTAAAGAAAGCTTTAAAAAAAAAATTCCCCTTGTAATTTTTGTGTTGTCATTTGTTAGTGTTTTTAAATTTTTTCTTTTTGATGTTGATTTGGCATATGTTGATTTGGTGGGATTATAAAGTCAAAGTAGATCTTAACATAGTATTAAAAAATATAATTGAAACATTTCCAGAGCCATACTCCTTTTTTTGGCTTTTAACATTTTGAAACCTTGTCTTTGGATTGAGATTTCATTGTGTTAAATGAGTTTGGTCATTTTTTTTTTCTTTTACCTATGTGCTTTAGTTTGGCAATTTAAATATGCTAGATCATGTTTTGTTTAATAGCACTTTATAATGGAAGAAGTATTTTATAAATTTGTTTCATCTGAAAATAGTTAAATTTTTGACATGTATAAATAACTTTTATTTTAAAGGTATTGCTATTAAGGAGTCAGCAAAAGTGGGTGATCAAGCTCAAAGGAGGGTGTTGAAAGGTGTTGATGACTTAGACTTCTTCATTGGTGATGAAGCAATAGAAAAACCTACATATGCAACAAAGGTATATTTTATGATTTGTGAATTATAACATTTTTTAAAAAAATTTAGTTTATGATTGTGCCATTTAGAATTTCACTCTGTTATAGGCCTAGTAGCTTCAACCTCTTCACAATAGAAATTTCTCGTTCCCTGTGGCCCCTCCCAACTTAACGTTAACTTTATTTTTTTTCCAAGTGGAAAATTTCAGCCTGCCCAAGTGAGCAGTATTTACTTTTCCATACCTACTAGATCTTAGAATCATCAATGTAATTGCCTTTCTCATTGCCACATTTAGAGACATTTCCCATAAGTATTCAAACCTATACCATTTCTCTCCTTTTTGAAGCTTATGGAAGTGCTGCTCTCTTTTCCCTTTCTTATCCTGCCATTCTTCCCCTTCTTCCTTTTTATTGAGGTATAATTTGTATGTAGTAAAATAGGTAAGTCTTAATTATATAGTTAAAAAAATTTTATGACTCCAATCGTAAAACTTCAGGATATAGAGTAAATTTAGTAACCTAGAAGCTTTTCTTGTGTCTACTCCCATAGTCATCACCCCTACCTATACCAAAGGTAAATACCATTCTGACATTTATTATCATATTTTTGAACATTGACTTTACCTCATTTGCAGATTTCCTCCTTTGTACCTCATTTCTTCTATACTCATAATTTATTAATGAACACTACCATATGTAAAAAATTTGGCTAAGTGCTGAGAATACAGTGATGAATAACAAAATGACTTTCCTGATAAGGCAGTTATAATGTGGTGGAAAGAAATACACTGAAGAAATAATTACAGGTGTTAAGGGTGTTGCAAAAAGGAAAGTATAGAATAACTCTGGGAATGTATATCAGGAATAGCTAACCTATTTTGTGGATTCAGAAAAATCTTTAGGGAGTAAATCTTTAAGCTGAGGCTTGAATAATAAATAGGTATTGGATGAATTGTGTAGGCAAGGTTATATATATACTAGGCAGAGATTCCAATATTCAGGAAGGCTTTAAAGTATGAGGGAGCCTGAAACTGAACAACCAGTGTGCCTAAAGCATAGAGGAGGTGGAAAGAAGTGAGGAGGCTGAACAAGTAGGCCAGGATAAGATTGTTGAAAGTGTTGTTAGGCCATGTTAAAGAATTTAACTCTGTCCTTTGGGTAACATTAATGGTTTAAGTAGTGATTAAAAGCACAAATATTGAAGTATATTGGCTTGGCTGGAATTCTGGCTGTGCAACTTACTTTTTTTTTTTCTCTTCAGAGAGGAAGGGAGAGGCCTAGAGAGATAGAAATATCAATGATGAGAATCATGGATTGGCTGCCTCCTGCATGCCCCCTACTGGGGATCGAGCCTGCAACTCGGGCATGTGCCCTTGACTGGAATCAAACCTGGGATCCTTTAGCCTACAGGCTGACGCTCTATCCACTGAACCAAACCAGCTAGAGCTGGCTGTGCAACTTTCTAGCTTTGTGATATTCAGTAATTTAACCTTTCTGAGTTTTTGTTTCTTTATCTGTTAAATGGAGATAGTATAGGATTGTTGGGAGATTTGATGAGATGATGCATATAAAACAATTGTTATGGTGCTTTGTACATCATGGATACTCATATATATTGGCTGTTTTTATTTATTTATTTTAAATATATATTTTATTGATATTTTTACAGAGAGGAAGGGAGAGGGATAGAGAATTAGAAACATCGATGGATGAGAGAGAAACATTGATTAGCTGCCTCCTGCACACCCCTACTGGGGATGTGCCCGCAAGCAAGGTACATGCCCTTGACCGGAATCGAACCTGGGACCCTTCATTCTGCAGACTGACGCTCTATCCACTGAGCCAAACCAGTTAGGGCATTGGCTGTTTTTATTATTTGGAAACACAGCATCATTCTAGGAAGACCAGACTATTGTAATAACTAAGGCAAGGAATATTAGTGACTTGTACTACACTTAAGGCAGTAGGCATAGAGAGAAACAGAAATTGTGTGTGCACACAAACATTTAACTTTCATCATAGGGACTTTTAGTCAGGATGGCAAGCATAGGTAAATCTAGTACTCGCTTCCTTCCACAACCCAATCAAAATTACAGCTAAACCATAGGACAACCACTATTTAGAATCACCTGAAATATGGCCGAATGGAAGTCTTACAAGTAGGGAGTTAAAGAAGAAGCCACATTTGAGACTGGTAAGTGGGGTAGAGATGCTGAATGTGCTGGTCCCATACTCACATGTGGCTGATATAAATCAGAAGGGACATCTTGGCTGCAGAGATTCCCCCTTTAGTAGTGAGGGGTCCCAGCCCCACATCAGGCCCCCTGGCCCAGGGTTCCAATGTCAAAAAGAGAAGTCCCATAACTTTTGGCTGTAAAAACCAGTGGGATTGAGGCTGAGGGAGATGGTAGACTGCTGGAGTCCCAGGCAGTTTCTTTAACACATTAAGCACCATGTCAGTCACTGTTGACTGACACTATACTTTCTGTCCGGACCGGTCAGTCACTGGTGCCACCAGCATGTCAGTGAAATTGGATATCACGGGCTAAACGGAAAGGAAGACAAAGCAGGCTTGGTGTTTAACATGTTAAAGAGCTCACACACGGACTTATTCGGACTCCCTCCCTCTGAGCTCTATCACTGGGTAACAGCGTGAAAAAGCCATTAGAGACATAGGGGAAGGAACTGAAATGTCTAGCATCAGGGCAAGAGCTGGGGAGGCAGCTTTCTTCCAGACAGAAGTGCTTGCAGAGGCCATTGTTGCTTTGATGAGCTATCTACCTCCACAGAGCCAGCATGTCTGAGTCTCCATCAACTTGGCTAACACTGTCCACCCTCCCCACCTTGTGATCCCTTGAGGCCCCACCTCACCCAATTTCAGGAGTACCCATGATGTTTACAGTAGCTTTTCTGTATGAATGACCTGTCTTGGCTCATGTTTTAGATTTTCCTAAAAATATCTCAAACAAGCAGTAACTGGACTCTGCATACCCCATACCTTTCACTAAGTGGCCCCAGGCCTGGCAGTAGCAGCAGCTAGCCTTGATTTGTAGCTTGGCCTCTCCTGGGCCAACACAAGTAGCAGACATTTGCAGATTGCTTTGTAACTCATGACAGATGGCTCTGGGCAGTAACAGGCAATGGCTGATCTTGGCCTGCACCTCCCTGGAGGCCTGAGAGCCCGTGCACCCAGAGGACACCTTCTGACCACATTGAAGCATCACCACACAAACCACTCCACAAATGACACACTAAAGGGACAAATTCAGTGGGCACCAGAGCCCTGCTGAAGTAAGTCCTACTCTGTGGGGTGGGCCCCTGCGCAGCTGATCCTCCATGGTGGTCAGAGGTCAGTGGTCTGTGGTCACAGCCAGTCCTTGTAGCTGATGGGCCTGGGGATAAATTATTCCTTATTGATGTTCCAATAGCAATCAAAGTACACAGTCCACACAGAGGGCACACCCCGATTGCCCATTTTGGGTTATCAGAGAGGCTATGTCACTAGGCCCTACGGAACACCTACTATATTAGGCTACTCTACTATCCTGGTAGATGTAGCAGCTCTACATAATGCGTAGAAACAAATAGAGGAAGGGTGCCAAGATGAGGAGACAAAGAAACGTGTCCCAAATGAAAGAACAGAACTCAACTCCAGAAAGAGAACTAAATGTATTATAGATAAGCAATCTACTAGATCAGTGGTTCTCAACCTTCCTAATGCCCCGACCCTTTAATACAGTTCCTCATGTTGTGGTGACCCCCAACCATAAAATTATTTTCATTGCTACTTCATAACTGTAATTTTGCTACTGTTATGAATCATAATGTAAATATCTGATATGCAGGATGTATTTTCATTGTTACAAATTGAACATAATTAAAGCATGGTGATTAATCACAAAAACAATATGTAATTATATATGTTTTCCGATGGTCTTAGGCGACTCCTGTGAAAGGGTCGTTCGACCCCCAAAGGGGTCGCGACCCACAGGTTGAGAACCGCTGTACTAGATGAAGAGTTCCAAACACTGCTTATAAGGATGCTCAGTGAACTTAGTGAGAACCTTACAGCATGAAAAAGTATCATTCAGATGTGAAGGATACATTAACTGAAATGAAGAATAATTTATAGGGATTCAACAGTAGAGTAGAGGATGCCAAGATAAAATCAGCGATATGGAATATAAGAAAGCAAAAAAACACCAACTAGAAGAGCAAAAAGAAAGAAGAATGAAAAAATATGAAGATAGTGTAAGGGGCCTCTAGGACAACTTCAAGCATACCAACATTCACATCATAGGGATGCTGGAAGGAGACGAAAAGGAGCAAGATTTTAAAAACCTATTTGAGAAAATAATGACAAAAAACTTAGCTTACCTGGGGAAAGAAATAGACATACAAGTCCAGGAAGCACAGAGAGTCTCAAACAAGGTGACCTCAAAGAGGCCCACACCAAAACACATCATTAAAATGCCAAAGGTTAAAGACAAAGAGAGAATCTTAAAAGCAGCAAGAAAAAAGCAGTTAGTTACCTACAAGAGAGCTCCCATAAGACTGTCAGCTGATTTCACAACAACAACTTTGCAGGCCAGAAGGGGCTGGCAAGAAATATTCAAAGTGAAGAGCAAGGACCTACAAACCAAGATTACTCTACCCAGCAACGCTATCATTTAGGATGGAAGGACATAAAAAGCTTCCTAGACAAGAAAATGCTAAAGGAATTCATCATCACCAAACCAATAATACAAGAAATGTTGAAGGGGTTTCTTTCTAAGGAAAAAAAAAAGAAGATAAAAATATGAACAATAAAATGGCAATAAGTACATATCTATCAATAATTGAGTTAACAAGCAGAACAGAAATAGCCTCACAGATACAGAGAACATTTTGATTGTTGCCAGAAGGGAGGGGGGTTGGGAGAATGGGTGAAAAAGGTGAAAGGATTAAGAAGTATAAATTGGTTGTTACAGAATAGTCATGGGGATGTAAAGTGCAGCATAGGGAATATAGTCAGTAATCTATA